ATACGACAGTTCACTTTCTACTTGGAGGCCTAGGAAACAATGTGGAAAATGAAAAATACTTACGGCAAACCTAAGCCAACTTTCTCAGTTTCTCTCCCTTTTCCTGGATGGAAGATTTCTAACTATTTTAGAGTCGCTGAAGCAAGAACAACACCGTGGAGCTAAGCGACACTTCTAAATAGGGATGGCGAAAGGAAAGACGTGAATTTCTGGAAACCTGAAAGAGCTTCTTCTGCTCCAATGGGGCTTTGCAGTGGGAATTTTTGTTTGTCACCGGAGGTTCAACTCACGTCCTACCTGTGGAGTAAAATCTTTCCCTGATAAAGGCGAAGAAATGTGAGTACCGCAGTGTTCATGTATGTGTGTGGGTGTCCTGAATTTCCTGCAAAATTTGGGATGCTGAACCCCGGGTAGATGGAGGTTCCAGGGTACCTGTGAACCCGAGATGAGTCCGGCTCTCCCCGGGTAGCCGGAGCGGGTYGCTTGGCGGAGCTCTGGCCGCTTCCTCTCTCTCCCAGAGAGGGACATTTGATTGACAAGGCACGGTTGATGACTGGACATAGCGGCTTACGCCGGTGAGCCGATTTTTTGTGTCTGATGCTAAACCTGTTGATCCTGGGGATGTATTTAGATGTGGGAAATGTTAATTATCCAGCAGACTGCCAGCAGATGCTGAGCTGTGGCTTCTTAGGGAGCTTTTCTTGCAATGCATGGGTGCCCTCAGARGTTGTGCAAGCACAGGGACAAAACCTCACAGGGTTGAAGCATAGCAGCTAACTCTTGTGGCATTTACTTAGTCGAGCTTGGGGGGGAGGAACCCAAAACAACACAAAAAACCCCACAATCAACTGAAAAAAATACGAACAAACTAATAACACCACAGAATGGCGGGGGGGGGGAACAAAAAAAGAGAGAGGGAAGAAGAAAAGTCAGAGACATATCTTGCAGCTGCTCAGGGTGCAAGGGATTGCTATCAGCAGAGTTAGTCCAACCGCTGCCTTCCGCGTAGTGAGTCACTCGGAGCAAGCAACCATCACTTCTCGGGTTCTCCGAAATGCATCCCCATCAAAATGGTTCTGCTCAGCCCATGAGTGCACCTGGCGAGGGAGTGTCGAGGACAAGACAATTCAGGTAGAGTCGGGGGAGGGCCAGTGAAGTGCCGCCCGGCCGCTCAGCCTGGCCCGGGGGTGTCTCTCTGCATCCCTCTATCCTTCCCACCAAAACAATGTCGTTMTTCAACAACCGTGGTCCACTCGTATCCATTGAATGACGGAAACTGCTTCATCGTAAACTCTAGAAACACTGTTGCTGCCTGGGAAATAATAAGATTTTTTTTTTTTTTTCAGCTGAGGCTGTTGTGATCGGTGTAATGCAATGAAAACCAGTAACTTATGTTATATTTATTTACCCATGTGGCCCTTGGTAARCTTGCAGAGCTGTAAATAGAGACTACGTTTCCTGGTAATTCTGGTTTCAGGACATCATCAGTCAGGAACAGCTGGGAAATCTGTCAGGAAAAGGCTGGCTTAGTATATTTGGCATGTTTTGAACTGAAGGCTAGGTGGAGCCTCCATCCTTTATAAAGTGATTAGCAGCTTTTACTATACAAATCCCAGATCTGCTCCTATAGTTTTCATCACTTCTTCAGCAACACCAAATAAGCTTTTTAGCCTTATATTTTTAAGTGTAATTCCCCAGCAATAATGATGCAGTTAAAATAATGTGGTATATTGTTGATATTATATGTAGCATTATATATAAATGTTGGTTACTATCTTTAACCCTGCAGACACAGGAGTATAACACTCATATCTGTTGTGAGTCATCTTAAATCATCTGCAAAAAGTGTGGCTATTTTTTCCCCATTTAATCTAGGGTCAAACATTTTAGTGATTTATCTAAAAATCCCAGAAGTTAATATACTCAATGCCTTCCAAACACATAGGTTTTTCCATTCACATGTATTTCTGGAACAAGAATCAAACACTGAAAGTGTTTAAATTATGATCCTCTGCTTTTTTTGGGAGGCTATTTTTCAGGTTTAAACAATGCTGACAGACCACARGTAGTTACAAACACAACAAGAAATGGTAATTTTTTGTTTGTTTAATGAAAATCAGACACATTACCTACAGAGTACATGTTCTTTAACAGCACACAGTTTCTATGTGTAATCACTAACTCTTTGAGGATTGCCCTTTTTTATGTGACTTCAAATTCTTGATACTCTTATTTCAGAATTCAGATTTGTAGTAGATATCCTTTTGTATACTACACGTTCAATGTAACAGAAGTACAATCTTYAGTTGCCTGTAAAATGAAATTTCAGTCACAAAAGAAACGATAAGGCAGTTTCATTGGAAGGTGAGACAGTCAAGTGACTTACCTGGATGAGAGGAAAAGGATGTTGCTCTGCAGGGAAAAGTGGCCTGGACTGTACTGGTATACTGTGGTGTTCAACTCTATAGGAATTTTGTCATCATTTGGGTTGAAAAGGGAACTTACCGTAACACTACACCCCTCTTGTGTACTTCACAGCCGCTTAACTGGTATTCCTGTGTGTCTTCCCACAGAAAGTGGGGATGCTAGAGGTAGGAGTAATTGCAGTAATAAGCATTCCTCTTTAAAGTCAATAGAGACAGTTTACTCTTAAGAAATCCATGAAGAGTATTACTTTTTTATGTCACAGCCACCTGGTAACCTATAAAAAGATTAGAAAATAAGCATGGCAATCTACGGGCCAATAGCAGAAGCTAGGAGGAAAATGTCAGTGTTTGCATTCCATATCTTCCAATAGGCATATATTTGGATAGTGACTTTGGAAAAAATACGTTTTATACAATTATGTAAACTAGAATACAGCAGGCAGTTTAACAGCTGCTTTTGCTGATCCGAGTGATGTTTTTGGGCAGAATTTTGAGAAGTGCACATTGCTTAAACTTTCCACAAGCTAGACAAACTGCATTTTTGGAAATGTGTTATACAACTGCTGATACATTTTACATTCAGAATAAGCAAACAATCAATTCATTATAATTTTGAGGCCCTAAATGAGAGCTAGAAAATGTAATTAGTAAAAAGGTTAATGAAAGGTTGGTCATAACCAGCATGTTACTTCTTTTGGTGTGCTTTGACTCCAGTGAATAATCAACAAAATACGACAGGTGTGTTGCAGTTACTTCCCAAACCAGTGCATAAGAGAGTCGGCTGTGAGAAGAGGGGCTTGATGTTTTAAAGATATGCCTTGTGTCTTTGAAAAATGTCAATTTGCAATAATATATCTTGCATTTTACTGTAAACCTGGTGGCGTGGCACCTGATGACACACATGCATGTAACATGTATGTATGCATCTGTATTAATATCAATTATACACATATGCACATATRCACTCATATATCTGCATATGCACCCGTGTAAGCATAGATGCAAGCACACAAACATGAGGATCACTTGTAATTTCATGCCTCTGACTGAAAGCATTTAATGCACAAGGCGGTCCTGTGCAATACATGCTTGATCATTAACATTATTTCCCCTAGCCATTACCATGAAAAAAGGTCTCTCTGCTTATCTGCCAGTTCAGAAAAGCTCATTAGAACGTCATATAATATTAAAGTGATCATGTGCCTCTGGTTGCGTCAGATATCTGATTCAGTTGCCCCTGTTGTGCCAGAGCAGCCTGAAAGGTAAAGAAGCTCAGTAAGTCATAATGCAGAGTTAGAAAAATACTATTTTGTGCCAGGCTCCAAATTTTCTGCTAAGAACACTGGCACAATTAGTTCTTATGTCTTCCAGGTAAAAGGCATTGGCAAAAAAGCAGTCTTTAGAGGATATAATATATAATWACTGCTAACAACAGAAGTGCTGAGCTTCAAAGCCATAGATACTGAAAACACAAATAAATTAGTAGTATGCCCGCTGGATTCAGATTTAACAGTTGTTTGTGTGCTACTTCTTGGGGCAATATTATTTTTGGGCCATGTCTGACAAATGGGTTTTCTGCCCCATTTTCATGCTTTTGTAATTGCAATAAAAATGGGCTGGTTGATACTGTTGTTATTTTACAGTGTAACAGCATACACTTGCATATATATTTTAGCACAAACGCATAGASGCATGTGCCTAGACTGACGTAAGTAAGTATGGCTCCACTGTGTGTGCACAAGGGCACATAAGTTTTGTTATACGAGCAAGCTCT